CCTATGAAAAGTTTATTTCCCACATGAAATTATACACGAACATATTAAAAATTATTAAAAAAGTGTTTAAAATAATTAGTATATTTATTTTTACTACAATATTATTTAAGTCATTCAAGTACATGGCAACAGTGTGTTAAAAACAGCAAGCAAAATCACTCACACCCAGCGGCGAGTATTATTCAGGTTTCGATCGAGATATTATACAGAGAAAATTTTTTTATAACCGAGGATTCCTCGGATGATCATCCGATTATTGCAATCCTCGAGGATCAATACTCGAGGATTGAAATCATCCGATTTTTTCCAACACTAATAAATAATTAGTGGGTACTGGCTAGTCAACTAAATTACTGGCCGTGTCTGAACTAGGCTTGAACTCAGAAACACTATTCCAGATGTCTGATATCTGGGGATAAAAATCTGCCTCATCAAATACTCAAGGACCGGAAAAACCAACCTGGAAATTTAGTTACTGAAACTGGTCTTTTTTGTCAGTATTTTTGTTATAATGTTTTCGATGCGCAGTTTTCGTCAGGGGACCCAATTTATTACTGTATAGCTTCATTCAGAACCTCCCAATTAGTGGAATAAATTAGCGGTTTCAGTTACACTTCATAGTTTTTAGTTTACAATCGTTAATTAATAATGTCTAAAAAACACAATTAAAATTAATAGAATATGCTAGCAAGAGCTTGCGGTAGTAAGCTGTATCCATAGAGAAAGCCTAATATTCAACTTATAAAACAATGAACTACTTTTGATTTCTAACCACAATTTCTCTTAACGGATGATAATCAAAGGCCAAAATGACATTACACGCAAATTTTGAAGTATAATTAGTGTAAACGTTATAGAGTAAGATTCCAGAGCAATCAGATATAACTTATTTTCACAAGGATTAAATCTTAGGCTCTCAGTAGAACCCTCATGTGCTTTGAATACCGGCCTGTTAGTGGGGCTCGCCCTGTGACACCTTGGCAGATACCAGGTGAGAAACGTAACTAAAAATAAGAGTTACTTTACTTAAATTTGTATGGCTGATTTTTTTTATATATGTATATTGTAGATTATTATTCTGAAGCAGTATCAAAAGTATCAGACACTTTCCATGAACCAGAACTTTTATCAGACGCTTTAAAGCTCCATAAAAAATAAATGAACATTACTTATTTTTACATACGTTATTAAGACAGCTATGATAGTTATATTTAATCAGTCAGACAAATTGTAACGACCAAACATCCCCTAAAAAATATCCAGCCGTAAATCAGCGCGAGAGTACTAAGCGCATGCGTTTCAGAGCGAGTGACATCTATGGTAACTCGGGGCATGCGCATAGTTCTCCCGCGCTCATAGTCACGTCTGAACAATTTTTGTATTTAGAGGATGTTTGGTCATTAAAATCTGTCTCACTGATTAAATATAACTTTATAATAGCTGTCTTTATATAATATATGTAAAAATCACACAAGTAAAAATTAGTAAAGTTCATTTATTTTTTGTGGAGCATTAAAGCGTCTGATAAAAGTTCTGGTCCATGAAAAGTGTCTGATATTTTTGATACTACTTCAGAATAATAATCTACAATATATATACAGGGTGTCCCAGGCTGAGCGTTCATTATTATATTATATTAACTATAAACTTATTATATAAGTTTCTAGAGAACCACAATATCTAGATCGGAGATTTTTTGCACATCATTGTTTTACAATGAGATCTATCGATTAAAAATATTTTCAATATGGCGGCACTTCCGGAAATACCGGAAGTTGACAGCAACTTTCTTAATGGGTGCCCCTATTTTTTATTACATAATTAAATTCTTTGTAAAATTCTATGACTATTGATGTTAAACACTCTATACCTAACATTTGCCGTTTTTAAGAAAAAATATATTTAAAATTTTTGGACGAAAAAAACTACCTGACAAAAAAAATTGTATAGCCTAAAAGTCAAATTTAGTGATTATCACAGCCACTATGACATAAAGAGAAGGCATGTCGCTATCTATTTCAAAAATTAAATTGTTCAAATGTCATATAATAATGGCGGTAGCAGTCATGGAATTGAGCGACTAAAAATTTATCATAAATCATTTGTTTCAAATGGAAACCCACTTTTTTTATTTCACTAATGAAAAGGATTTTCAATTCGTTACTTTTTAATTATACATGTTACTATACCTAAAATAAATCGTTTTTAAGGTATTTAAGATTTAATTTGAAAACCTATATTTTTCTTCATTTTATCTAGCTTCCTTTGACATTGAGTGTCAAACGATCAGACAATTTATTTCCATCTGTCAGGAAACGAATTATTTGAATTTCCTATATTATAAATACTGCCTGCTTAAGAGTTTAAAAAACGTATTTATAATAATATATATATCATATTTTCGCTCTTTAGTGATATCTAATAGTTGATATTATTAATAATATTCCGTATGATCGAAAAAAAAACAGCGCAAAGTTGGCTCGGAAATGATGCTGCTTTTTGACAAAAGCCTCATAATATGACATAACCAGATCTATTGTTTTACATCACTTGACGTTTAAAGCCATAGGCTACTGGTTAAAATCAAGAAAAATATACGCTTTAAAACTAAATCTTAAATACCTTAAAAATAATTTATTTTAGGTATAGGAACATGTATAGTCAAAAAGTAACGAATTGAAAAGCCTTTTCACTAGTGAAATAAAAAAGTGGGTTTTCATTTGAAAAAAAAATGATTTATGATAATTTTTTAATTGCTCAATTCCATGACCGCTGCTGTCATTATTATATGACATTCAAACAATTTCATTCTTGAAATAGATAGCCACATGTCTTCTCTTTATGGCACAGTGGCTGTTGTATTAACTAAATTGGACGTTTAGGCTATACACATATTTTTGACAGGTAGATTTTTTCCTACAAAAATTATAAATATTTTTTTTCTCAAAAACGGTTAATGTTAGGTATAGAGTGTTTTTTATTAAAATTCATAAAATTTTACAGAGAATTTAATTATGTAATAAAAAATGGGGGCACCCATTTAAAATAAGAAAGTTGCTGGCGGCACTTCCGGTATTTCCGGAAGTGCCGCCATATTAAAAATATTTTTAATCGAGAGAGCTCGTTGTAAAACAATGATGTGTAAAAAATCTCCGTTCTAGATATTGTGGTTCTCTAGAAACTTCTAATGAACGCTCAGCCTGGGACACCCTGTATATAAAAATCAGCCACACAAATTTAAGTAAAGTAACTCTTATTTTTAGTTGCCTTTCTCACCTGGTATCTGCCAAGGTGTCACAGGGCGAACCCCACGAACACGCCAGTATTCAAAGCACATGAGAGAACTACTGAGAGCCTAACCCAAGAAGCATTTTTTGTTTTATAAGTGTGTTAGGAAACTTCCCAACACACACCATATTATACAACCTAAACGCATCTAGAATGGTTGTCGTGAGTTATTGGTAACGATTATATAACACTTATATGCCCTAAACGGTCCATTTTATAACTGTTCCTATGGTAAACCTTAACACTCAAGGTGTGCAACCAAAGTCCTGAAAACCTTCTCAACACCTTTATATATCCTATCGAATTACCGCTATAAAATTGAAAAAGGGTATATAATAGTTATATAGTGGTGTTGAGAAGGTTCCCAGAGATATATACTTGTTTCTTTCTAACTAACTACTTTAATATTTGCCTCTTTTTTTAACATAAAAAGCAAATATGATTTTATTTCTCCGAGTTGTTCTACGCAGATAATCCAGACCAGAAACAAAAGAGACAACATGACGCCATCCCTGTCATAGCCTACAAAAGCGTTTGCGTTATGCAAATGACTTTATAGAAATTACTGGTTTAATAACATCTATTGTGCCTATCCAGAGTACTAAATACATATGCGATATTAAATTTATTGTGTGAAAATCAATTTTACCTCCAAAAAACACATGCGCCCCCAAAAGCAGAATTATTTAATACATTTTTTTATAAACAAAAAAAAATATCGTAAAATTTTTGTAATGAAAGTCAAATTTATTAATATAAATAATAGAACATACGACTTTTTTAATACATAGAAATAACTGACAACTGGCCAAAATATAGTTTTGTACCAGTTTTTAACGTTATCTTAGAAATACTCATTGTAGCCAAAAATGAAGACATCAATAATAATGGCGTCCATTATATTTAAAGTGCTATGTATTACTTTAGGGTCTATAACATACTCATCAACCATTATATAAATTTGGTTACTTAAGGTTGCGTAAATGAGTTTGGGTTATTTAAAACACCAATTTTAGTGTTTTATACAACTAAAGGTGATACAAATCACCATTATAAACGCCGGGGTGTTTATGGCTACTTTTAGTCACCCAGAAAACCTTTATGTAACCCGTGGTGTCGACTGTAGCGACTCCCTAGCGAGAGCGAAGTTTGACATTACAGCAATTTGTCAGAAAATGTGCAGAAAACAAAACAACCTCAAAAAATTGAAATAATACTGTTTTGGTTCAATTTGATCTATATTTAAAGTGGTAGGAGTTTGCAGAAGAGTTCTAGAGTCCTTTGGTACTTTGGTAGAACAGTTATGAATGAATTGACTATAAAAAAAGCTCTTAAGTGCAGAATGTGTAATGTTAAAGCGCAAAGCTCATTCTCTTTGTTAGAGAATGCCTTAACCAGACATCTTCCTGTTCCTGATCGTTTTGGCAACTTTCTGTTTGAAATATCTCAGGTTGATCCTGATCTCTGCTTGTGGATGGTAATTTTGCATGTTGGCTGTCAATATTGGTAGATGTAGTGTGAATGAGGTTTGGATTATTCCTATTTTTTTTAAATTCTGAAGAACCTTTCTTTTGAACGTAGATGTATTTTTGTGTTTTGTCCAGTTTATTTATGAAACCTTTAGTAACAAGAACCTCTAGTTTTATAAGGAAAGTGATAAACAACATTTCAAGGTTACTATTAGTGATAAGTAACCAACGCTACACTTATATAAATCAAAACACTGTAAGATACCAATGAGACATTTATTAAACCTTTATATAACTAACCTTGAGAATATATAACCTAAAGGAACTTAAAATGTTACTTGGGAAGGTTTCATTCCTTGTGAAAGTAAGTTATGTCTGATCGCTCTGGGATCTTGGACTATTAAAAGTTTCTTAACGTTTTCTACTAATTGAAAATGACCATCACTAATTTTAGGAACAAACTTCTACGCTAATTGAAACCACTCATTTATTCCACCAATTTCGACGTTTTGAATGAAGCTTATGCGTTATTATTTGGACATCGTTTGTTATATTCAATTACAATTTAGCATGTGTTTAGGCCTTGGTATTCTAAACAAATTAAGTTGATTACTTAAAAATTCCTAAACGTACATCGTCGGTTTTTTTCCCTCACCCTTCACATCTAACAGAAAGTTGCCGTACACATAACCTAAAATTACAACTTCAAGTCTAAAACAAAAACGCTTCCGTCCGAAGCACTCGCCCCCACTTTGTCGCCCCTCGAGTTCCAACACACCTCGAATATGCCCCCCGTACCTTTATAGCTGTGCACCAATTGGCCCGACTGGGTGGACCAGATGTGGACGCACTTGTCGAAGCTTCCGCTCGCCAAGAACTTGCCGTCGGGGCTAAAGGCCACAGAATAAACCGGCTCCGTGTGCTTCGTCAGCGTGTGAATACAAGCGCCTCTCTCGACGTCCCACAGTCTCACCTAAGGATGGGAAAAAGACTAAATATATCGATATACAGTATACAGGGTTGTACACCACATACGACACAGAGTATTGTAGCTAAACGATTAGATGTTTGCAAATTGTAAGTTTTGGGTTCGTTGAAGGACTAGTAGAGCTGCAATTTAAAAATATTTTTACAAGATAGAGAGTGTCCCAAATCCCAAATAAATAAAAAATATCAAAGTTGTATTTTTTTAAAGGGTATATTATTACATTTTTAGTTTCTACGATTAAAATAAAGGTAAGTTTGATTAAGGTTTACCGCATTTTAATCTTACCATTTTTGAAATATTTAGGTTTTTGTCAAAATACAGTAATAATTTTAATCCTTCATTTCTCTAGGCGTATTTAAGTTTTTAAAACCAAATATTGTACCGAAGTATTTCTATTTACTAAATTTTGTGTTGTAATAATAAAAATTATACTACCTTATGCAGAGTGTCTAAAAATTTATTTTAAATAATTAGGTACTAGCTTTAAACGGCAATAACTTGTTTAATTTAAATGGAACACCCTGTATGTTTTATGAGAATCAGATGCATAATTTAATTGTCTATCAAATTGTATTATACCATGTTTCACCTATCTCTTCAAGTTTTCGTAGAAAATGCATTTTCTTATAATTTAGACCTCATTTATCAATATACCCATGGAATATTGACATTTTAGATTATATTTTTAAATATGCAACAAATTTTTAAAGAGTACAGATACTAATATTGTCGATATAGTTCGTTTATTTCATTAAAAAAATAAAAAAGAGACCAATTAATATTATGATTCCAGTATAGTATTCAAACTACATTAATTGACTGTTTCCGTTGATTAATAATAATTGCTACAAATACTAAAAAACTGAATTTTGTATGTGTATTAGACAGTGTGGTAAAAAGTAACACCTTAAAAATTTTATTTCATTTTTTGACGAATGCTTATTTATAACAACAGAGACGTTTATTTTCATAAATTATTATTATATTGATTATATTGACTCAAATCCACGTTTATTTAAAATAATTTTTTTAACTAACACAATTAAGTATGCAATTAATTAACATTTGGGCGAAAATAATGGTGGTATATTTAATTAATGGTATACTCTTTTATAAAGATTTAAATAATTTTCTTTTTGTATACAAATTGGGTAGTAATATTTAGTGATGTTGGTAGCGAATATTTCCATTCGAATGTTGCAGGAAATTTCAGAAATTTCCGAAATATTCGGTCCCAAAATCGCTAATATTCGCAAATATCCGAATTTTGCAAGAGATTTCTTTTCAGAATTCAAAACATTGAGCACAAATTTAACGAAAGTGTATCAAGTATGCCTATTCTTAAATCAGAAGAAAAATAATGCTTCCGCCTTACCAAATAGAAAACATATGGCTCTTAAACCAATGCATTTGGTCGCGAATCTCTTGGACCCCTCTGTTTCCTGGGAGAGCACCCTAACAATGAAGAACACATAGCCGCTATGGAATTTGTCTATAATATCACCAACAAGCATCCTCAGTTTGTCAATAACAAAAGGAGCCATTTTTACAGATGTAACAAATGATTGCGCCAAATCGGGTTTGTGGGCTCTCGACTACGTTTGGATGTCAGTTAAAAATGTAGACTGTCTAAGTTGGTGGCAAGCAATATGTAAAAATATTCAATTGAAATATTTAGCTGTTGCTCTGCTGTCTTTACCAACGTCATCTGCAGCTACTGAGAGAAGTTTCAGTACTTAGTTTTAACCATACTAAAAAAAGGAATCGCTTAATTGCACAGAGAGCCGGTTAGATAATGTTCGTAGCTCATAACAATAAATTATTACTACAAAAACAAAAAGGGGATATGAAGCATGATATTCAACAACATGAAACTCCTCCAGAACCACTAGAACCCGTAGAGGTAGAGGTCCATCCTTCAGAATCAGAACCAGATGATACATGAAATATATCTGATTTGGAAATAGAAACTGACAAAGACAGTACTAATATACTACTACTATAATACCCTATGAAGATGGGACCAGCTCGGCGCCTGAAAGTATTCCGGAATAGAATAATCCAGTTATTTATGTTTTTTTATAATAAAATGCATTTTCTACGAAAACTTGAAGGGATAAGTAAACAATGGTATAATCCAATTTGATAGACAATTAAATTGTTCATCCGATTCCCCTAAAACATACAGGGTGTCTATTTAAATTAAACACGTTATTGCCGTTTAAAGCCAGAAATTATTTAAAATACATTTTAGACACTCTGTATGAAGTAGTTTAATTTTTATTATTCCAACACAATAATTGATCAATAAATAAACTTCAGTAAATATTTAGTGTTAAAAACTTTGACACCCTTGGAGAAATGAAGCCTTAAAAGTTTTACTGCAATTTCACAAAATTGAAAATATTTCAAAAACGGTAAGGTTTAAGTGTGATAAACTTTAACCAAATTTACCTTTATTTTAATCGTAGAAACTAAAAATGTAATAATATACAGAGTGTTCCCTTTAAAAAAAACTTTGATATTTTTTATTTATTTGGGACACTTTGTATCTTATAAAAATATTTTTAAATTGTAGCTCTAATCTTTCCACAACTAACCCAAAACTAACAATTTGCAAAACTAATCGTTTAGCTACAATACTCCGCGTCGTATGTGGTGAACAACCCTGTATTGTATCATAAGATATATATATTGAAATCATATATGTATGTATATCGATATATCTTGTATATCAATAAAAATTACACAATTCTTTTATTTCGACTGGAAACATAAAATACCGTACGATAAAAAAAATGGCGTGCGGTTGGCTTGGAAACGGACATCGATGACATTCCCAAATAAAATGACAGCGATCTCCATTTCACACCCATCGCTGACGCCGTTTTTTTTTCGATCATATTATATTTTTGTTTACAGTGGAAAAAATAAAAAATGGTAGTCTTATACCGGGTGCGTCTCAAAAATGGCTAAAAAGTTATAGGGCTCACCCTTATAACTTTTATTTTATCAGATAAAAAAAACGAGATTTGGTATGTTAGTATATGACAAATTAAAATTAATTGACGTATTAAATTGTTTTTGTCCACTCCCTGTTTCGCCGGAAATGAGTACATCTTTTGATTTTTAAATGACACCCTCGGTATATTTTTACTTTATTCGATAAAGATGATACTCTGAATAGATGACATATCATATGTCAACTTTTGACATTTCCGCTTAAAAACATATTGTATTTTAAATTTCAATCTAGACTGTCATGGCTGTGTTAGAAATAAGTACTAACACAGATTATACAGATTATAAACTTTGTTTTTTCTTTATTGTTTTTCGTGGTTCCAATTTTCGGAATCGGGCACTAGTTAGGTTACTAGCTTGCGCACATAGCACGCCCACTTATGGCCTCTAAAATTGTGCACAGCGCCTGACCGGCACAGTTATTAGAGAGATATCGGAAAACCGAATAGCGTCATGCAGTAATTACGCGTACCTTATCATGGTTACGATATGCGCGAGTCAATTTTTAACGCAACACCCGCTAATAACGTTACCGCCTGACGTAATCTGCGGATCAATTACACCAAGCGCTATTTCTAAATAACATTTAAAAATTGCTTAAATGGGCATGTGCGGGTATTTGACAACCAGGGCCGGCCGGCGAGATCTTCTATATTTTTTTAGGTTATGTATGAATTGTTTTGAATTATTACTTTAGTTTTATTAAGTAATTTGATATTTAAGTGACTGGGATTAGTTTTAATTAAATAAATATGGCCCAAAATATGGATTCCACCTCTTCCAATATTAAAGAACCTATAAAGGGGCTTAGGTTTACAGCAGATGACGACTTAGCCCTTCTAAGAGAATTTGTTGTTTGTTGCCCTAAATCCACTGGCAGACGTTGAACAATAAAGCACTGGAAACAAGCACTTTAGCCCTTTAGTTTTAAAATACCTAGTAAACAAAACAATTTCAAAGTTTTAAATTCAAAGGTTAATAAATTTAAAAGTTAGGTTAAGTTTAAATAGCGGACCCGACGCGAACAGAATTCTTTCCGATCCGATAACTATAAATGAAGAGAGTTAATACCACCCCACGTAAAGGAAATAACACCTGGCCTTATTAATGTCCATGCACGCTATTCGGTTTAGCGATATCTCTCTATTACGCTGTTTATTGTTATTTTACGCGAGTTTATTTTTGCCCAAGGAAATTTTACTCGTTTGCACATCGTCATAAAAACAACTTTCGTACCACGAATTAGGGATAAGATTTTTATCTGTATACATATAGTATACCTAATCTGTGGTACTAATTTTTAATCAGTGAGTCTTGGAAAAATAGATTTGACCGTCTAATGTTTTTCGTGTCTTATCCTGGCCAGTTAAAACATGACCAAATCGTATTTTTAATCATATCTCAATTTTTTCAAATGGAATAAAGGTGGCTCATTAGCATATTTGGAAAAGGCAATTTTTTGCGAATAATTAGGTACCACACACTTGGTATTTCGAGTCAAATTGTCGTTAGGGACCGCATGTTACAATTTCAAATAAACCATATGCGAAAATGTCAAAAGTTAACATATGATATGTCATTCATATTCTATCAAATAAATTCAAAAAATACCAAGGATGTCACTTAAATATCATAAGTTCCGGTGAAACAGGAAGTGATCAAAAACAATCGAATACGTCAATCAATCCTAATTTATGTCATATACTAACAGACCAAATCTCGTTGTGCTATCTAAAAAAATAAAGTTATAGGGGTGAGCCACTTCTGAGACGCACCCGGTATAAGGTTAAAATAAAAAATTCTAGATTCAATCAATCAATCTTGCAAGTTCTTTGGATAATTTAGTAAAATGTAGCCAAATATTGCTCTTTATGAAGTGCCATTTTTAGACATTAGCAGATTGTAGACAAATGTTTGTAGTCCTGACTGGAATGAATAGTATTTTTTATAATGAACGGTTGACGAAAAAATCAATAAAATTTAAATATACATAAACAATCCCAAGAAAAACCCTATACTTATAGCTTTCAACCAATGACTAAAGAATACAAGAACGCGTAGCACCCATATACGGGCTGGAACAGAATTTGTGCTGTTAGACACCATCATTTTGGAGCCTATGGATGAGTCAACAGCGACAATTTTAGCGATTTTTAATAGTTTGTTGATTTCTAAAACTTCGTATAAACTATTAATGGTAATGTGTTCAGTGTTCTATCAAGTGTAAAAGCCGCAACAATAAGAAAAAGCTAGGAGTTATGTTTCATAGGTAAATAAACAGTTTACTCCACCTTTTTAGCGTTTTCTTATTGAATTTGATAATTATTTTTCTGATATTATATGTACATAATATGTGCTCTATGTCGATTACTAGTTATATACCTTTTGTTAATTTTAGTATGTTTATTTGTAATTAATTAGTATACCACCGCATACACCATAGGCGTAGTCAAAACATTTATCAAAAATATAAATATCTCTTCAAGCAGCTAAGTTAAAAAAAATATGTGGCCACGGCCGGCACTGTTTGGAGCTATAGTAACAATTTGGTCTTGGGTATTATACGAGTATGTCCTTGTATTCTTTAGACATTGGCTTTCATCACTTATTTACGTGTTCTTAACTTTCACTTATTTCCTTTTATATTATATAAGAATTCTTGCCATTTAACTGCTGATATAGGAATTTAATTCCACACTGTGTTGGGGCCAAACCAAAACAGATAGTGAGAGCAGGAGGAGCCAGATAATGATAAACACAGTGTGGAATTAAATTTCTATATCAGCAGTTAAATGGCGAGAATTCTTATATAACTTTATTATATTTAATATATCGATATATCGTTGCCATCCCTAGTCTCACCGTCGAGTCGAAACTGGCCGAGGCCAGGATCAGGTTCATGTTGGGGTTGGCAGTGCCCGGTCCGGTCGGCGACCACTTGATGGTGTAGATTTCTTTGGAGTGCGCCTGGAGATCGTGGACGCAGGTGTCCTGTTTCATCGACCAAATCTTCAAGGTCATGTCGTCTGAACAGGAGGCCAGTAGGTTGCCTTGCGGGTCCCATTTGATCGCGTTCACTTCGTTCTGTAACAAAAATATACGGCACTGTTAACACACTGGGAACTTCAAAACAACTCCTCTTGTTCTAATGAGCTGTCTTGTTACCATTTAACTAGACTTTACGTCAGGGTTGGCAATATCATGATATATTTATATAAATATCAAAATATCATATCGGATATACCGATTTGGTCATTTTAGAAGTGTGGTCTGGATTTTAACGTGTAAGACAGAGAATAATATAAATGACCGGTTGACAGACAAAGAAACACAATCAAAAGCGGCATACAGTGTTGCCATGATTAAGAAATGTTCAATTAAAAATTCTAATTGAACATCTCTTAATCATTCCAATGTTCTAAATAAATATTTGTGGTTGTGGTTGACTGGTCAGCGATGCTTCACGGTGGTGTTATCAACACGAGCCATATTTTTTAATGTAGTTTTTATGAAGATCTTTTCTGTACCACGTTAAGTAAGTGTTTATTCTTAACTTTTAGAGCAATAATTGTCTAACATGTATTTCCATTTTAGTGTCCTGAGCAAGGAATAAATAAATTCCGAAAGCTTGACAATTAACAAAGTGTATTAATTCTTTGTCAAACCCTTCCGACTGCAACCCCACTAGTTCCTAGATTTTCTTTCTCACTAGTCAGTCGAGACTACTTTCTGCTGGTGAAAATTTATAAATATAGTTATTAAAACGGTAAAATCAAATAAAAATAATATTAAGCTTAGGATTCTCAAAAACTTAAAGAAAAAACATTATTATTATGTATTCCTACTTTTTTCTTTTTTTTTCTCAGGCATCGACCACCAGGATCATTAGCCATATACAACTCGTTATTGATAACAATGCAATTACAGGAAAGTCAGTGGCGCACATGTTTTTTGTTGAAAAATATTCCAGTGATAACCCATATGCACGTCCCTGATAAATTTATCGACACTTTTTTAGCATTAAAATATGTAGCACTTATAGTAACTTTTACCCTCAAAATTTCATTCGAATCACTAAAAGTACTTTGAAGAAAATTATAATAAATCGAAAGAGTATGAAGATTTTAACACCCTGTAGCTACGAAACAAAGAAGAATCGGACCTATGTTGATATGAAAAATAAATCTTATTTTTACGTGAAGAATATCCCCACGAGAGATGGCACATGTTTTTTGAAACACCCTGTATAAACATATTATTTGCACAATGAAAATTAAACTAGAATAAGTTGACGTCAGGCGAGGATCTGAAGGTGAACTTTGTTTAATTCTTATTGTTGTAAATATCAATATGAAATAATTAAAAAGGAAATCATAAGGGAGTATGGGGAGAATGAATCAAGAAGTCACACTGTTCAGTTGAGTCGAGTTCTCCAAGTATCATAGTGACAGTAAAGTAAGTTTATAATCTATACTAATATATAAAATCCTTAAGTGACTGACATACTGATTAATCACGATCCTGCTCAAACCACTCAACGTAAGAAGCTGAATTTTGGCATACAGGTTGATTCTAGGGTGTAGAGGTTCGATAAGAAGGGATTTTTCGAAATTCCAGTTCCAAGAGAGTGAAACCACCCCTCAAATATTACAATATTTTTTATAATTTTAAAAGCGGTCAAGTTTCCGAAAAAACGCTTAAACATGTATATTTTATTTTGTTTTTTTACATATTTCAAGATTTTTTAAAAATGTATACAGGGTGTTTCGAAAAATCTGGTCCTTGATTAATCACGATCCTGCTTAAAGCGCTCGACGTAAAAAGCTGATTTTTGGAAAACAGATTGACTTTAGGGTGTAGAGGTTCGATAAGAAGGGATTTTCCGAAACTCGAATTCTAAGGGGATGAAACTATCCCTCAAATATTAAAATATTTTTTATTTAAAAACCGGTGAGTTTTTCGGAAACATTGTTACACATATATATTTTATTTCGTTGTTTTACATATATTAAGATTTTTTATAAATTTATACAGGGTGTTTTATAAAATATGACCATTGAGTAATCACGATTCCGCTTAAACTGCTTGACGTTTAAAGCTGATTTTTGGTAAACGGATTGACTGTGGGGTGTAGAGGTTCGATAAGGAGGGGGGAGGGGTTTCTCGAATCTCAAATTCCAAGAGGGTGAAAACGCCCCTCAAATATTACAATATTTGTTATTTAAAAAACGGTTAGTCTTTCGGGAAAACGCTTGGACAGCATGATTTATTTGTTTTTTTTACATATTTTGAATTTTTTAAAAAATCATACAGGGTGTTCAAAAAAATTAGATAATTTCTTAACCACGATTCTGCTTAAACTGCTTGACGTAAAAAGCTTATTTTTGGCAAACGGATTTTTCGAAAGTCAAATTCCAACGAGATGAAACTACCCCTCAAATATTACCAAGTTATATAATAATATCGCCATATTGTTTTTTCTCATGCTGATATAAACGTGAGAAAATTTTATCCAGTTTGTATGTTAATGGAAATTCTTGCTTTGCTGTATCATCACCATTACAAATGATTAATTCGACGCGAACGAAGTCGCAGGTACACGCTAGTTTTTTATATATTTTCTCTTAGTTATATTTTATTGGTGAAAAGATATTCTACTTGACATTCCTCCTAAATAGATTTATGTATTTAATTCTGTAATTGTTAATTTATATTTCTTATTTTCATATATTGATTGTTTTAATGATCTTCGATGCCTAAAACGTCCCTAGCCGCAACCCTCTAAACCAGGGTCGCGACACTATTTCGAGTCAAATTGTCATTATGAACCCAGCCATTGCACTCTAGATTGAAATTTGAAATACTATTTTTTTAAGCGAAAACGTCAAAAGTTGGCACGATATTTCATTCTATTCAGAATGTCATTTTATATGAAATAAAGTAAAAGTATACCCAGGGTATCATTTAAAAGGCAACTTTTGACTTCTCACTTCCGGTAAAACAGGATGTGACCGAAAACAATTGATTACGTCAATCAATCCTGATATGTCATATACTAAAATACCAAATCACGTTTTTTTGTTGTCTGAAGAAAATAAAAAAGTTATAGCCTTAGATCTTATAAACTTCGTGGATAAGTAAATTCGCTTAATTTTTCTTCAAGACACATCAGCGACATTCGACTATCTGATTATCTTTGTCTTAGACACTGGACCAATCGTCTGTCTTTGTTTTGTATATATGTCATTTTTATGTCATAAAACAGAAAATATAAATATATAAATTAGAGAAAATAACATTGTTATTCGGATATTAATTATTTATTGGATAATACTTACTAGTATATTAACTATTTAATGAAAAAAAATCAAAGGTAAATTACCTAATAATGTTTAAAGTGATTAAGTTACCTAACATAAATATGTATTTTGCTGAAAAAAGTCGGTTTAAGAAACGATTTTAAATAATATACAGGTTGTTAATTTGTTTATTACTCGCGGCAAGAGCTTTATGGTTGAAATAAGGCAACCTCGGCCCGCTCGTCGATAGACGACGCAACGGGACGAGTCGGCAGAAAGTGACTGCGTTCTCAATAGGCAGTGTTGCCATTCTGTTCCCCTATAAGTAACTGTCCAGTTAACAACCTGTATCTTGTTTTTTAAAAAATATGAAACATACTTCAGAGGTTTTCATACTTTTATGATGTTGTGGAGTTCTTTTAAGGATAATATTTTTCCTATTGCGGACAGCTTCACACTAACTTTATGGCACTACAAAAACAAACTATCAAAAAGAACACAAATCTAAAATATCGTCGGTGACTCCAACTCGGTCAATCCAAATGAACTCTTTATTATCACGGGTCAAACAGTATACAAAAAGCACAAAATTTGACATTAATGAGGAAGATGCATATATTTTATTTTTCGCCAGAAACTGTTCAATTTATTAGAATAAATATGTATAAATGCAAAAAAAAAAGTTTTTTCTTGAAAGCAGTACCACAATTTTATAAAATGGGCCATTAAAATACTATGGATAACGCAAACGACGCCTCGCGAATTGAAACGATATTCTATTGGTCTGACGTCACCCGCCGTTCTCGTCGACGCGCGATGGCCAGCAGCAGCCAGACGTGTTCCGTTTATGTACGTATTTAGGCGGCGTACTAAGACATTTTTGTTGCTTTTAGCGTTGATTGAAGGAGTTTTTTATGCTTTTTTGTGCAGTTAGTATTTGTATGTGTTGTGTGTTCGAGAATTTTTTAAGTAATGGCAGATTCCGGGTTTGTAAAAGCACAATCAGATAACTTGCCAAAAGTCGATGCTTTTATGTTGGCTGCTTTTATAAATACAAATTCCCAATTTATTGGCGCTGAATTACGAGGAAAAAAACAGAGAGGTATGTAACATTATTTATTCTTTGTAGTACTGAGGCATTTTAAGTATAAGTAGGTACCTACTGTTACGAACTTTTATATAGTTAAAAATTAATGTTATAAACTTATTCTTCAGATCAGGTAGGGAGACGTATGGAGATAATGCTGTAGGTTATGTAGAAGTGAAAAGAGACAAAAATATTTCTTTAGTACGTGGAAAAATAACTCCAGAGCATAGCGTGAAAAAGAAAGTTTTTTTTATATATTGACACCCCCTTACCCTTGTTATTTTTAAAGATTGTTTTTTTTTACGAAATTATAGGAAATAAATTGTGTCAGTAATGAAAATATTATACAAGGTGTCCCATAAGCAAACGCCAAAATTAAGTTACTTTTTTAAGTGAAACACCCTATATATTTTTGGATTCTTCGAAAATTTCTAGATATTCTAGATATATTTTATGTATAATATCCTATACCTATCTTCAAATGTTTACGAAATATTGACAGTTGAAAAGCGAAAAATACCTACAATTTTCTGGACCACCTTTTTTGAGACACCCTGTATAACTAGAATTAATTTTAAAAGAGAGTATATGAAAAACCATGCAATTTTTTTATTTAATGTTTTCTTCTAAAACTTACAGTTAAGGCTGTATGTGGGTGTCAAAATATAATGAATAACCCTATACACACACATTCAAATTTCATATACCTATGTAAGACAATATACATAAATATAAGAACTTACATCAAAATGATCTTCACAACAATAAATCGTAAAAATAGAGGATAATTTAACGTTTTTCTTTTCATCTCTTCTCATGGCCTTGGAGCATTTTTTTCTGTTTTCGCTCATCCATTACTATTTATAAATATCACTAATTACTAATTATGTATTAATTAACACAAATAACTAAAATTTTGACACGGATTCAACAGCGTTTAAAAGCAAACTGTGTAAAATAAACACGCGTCTGGCTCCACTCAACCAGAAGAACGGCGGGTGACGTCACAGCGGCAAGGCGCGGTAGAGAGCGTTTGCCCGGCCATTTAAATTAACAATATTTAATTATTTTATATTAGAGGCATTTCTTAACCAATATCAACAATTTTTTTTGTTCAATTTGTAATTATATGAACTATTTTTTAAAACCATTATTTAAAAACATGCATTTTCCAAATTAAACTATTTTATTAAAATATGTTTTGACTTTTCAATGTCAAAACATATTTTAACGTTTCCCTGGTTAGGTTAGGTTAGGTTCAAGAACGGTAAACTAATAGGATTGCTCATCCTCATAAGACGTACGTTCGCCTCTTCCCGCGCTTCAGCTGACAGTTGTGACGTCATTGTAACCCTTGTCAAAGCCTTCGTGGCCTTGTCATGATAGTGTGTATTATTAGTTGCCTATGGCAAACTTATAAAAATAACAGCTGAGAAATTTTGAGTTAATTATTTTGCCAATTTTAAATATGAAAAAGGTGTCTTTAAAGTTTTTAGAGCTATAGAGTGTATAAATACGTTCATTTTGTGTTGTGGATTGTGACAAAGTGCATACTAAGTGCCCACGATTTTGTTTATTAATTATTTTAAAGCAAAATATGGAAGTACTCTAAAAAGAATGCTTGCAAAAGGTGATGCTGGGAACTGCTGTTCTTAAAAATGCATTATCCGAGTATTTAATACAATTTATACAGTTAATTTTCTATACTGCATACATATAAGGTGTTTAAATAAATAAACTAAATAATGAACGTTTTGCATTCGGAACCAATAATGCACGTGTGTGTATTATTGGCTGCCGGATAAGGACTAATAAGCATGACAAGGGCTACAATGACGTCACAAAGCGAGTAGTTTTCGCATGCACCTGGCGGACACTTTTGGCTGAATGAGCAGTCCTATTAAGTTAACTGTTCTTGGGTTAGGTTAGTGATTCCTATGTGTTGCCCATATATCATATTTGCATATACTTTCAAAGTAGTATTTTAAAACATTTTTCAAAAAAGAATTTATCGTTATATGATTTAATTTTTGTCTAAAATTTATATAAAAAGTATATTGAAGATATGACAAATATTTTCAAAATAATAAATACACGTATTATTTATATCTTAATGAAAAAATTTTAGTGATCTATATTTTTAGTAATTGTTGTCAACGCAGCGAAAAAAACGCTCCAAGTTAGTATTTACGTCTAATATCGTTCTGCGCATGCTCAGCAGCGTATTCAGAGAGAAGGATAGGCCTATACGATAATCTTGTTCTAAAAAGAAATAAATAGAAAAATGCATGTGAAAGTCCCGTAAACAAAGTCGTGTGTAATATACATATGGCATAGCTTTATCCACGAAGTTTATAAGATCTAAGGTTATAGCGGTGAGCCACATTTGAAAAAGGCCCAGTAGAGTACTTACAGTATGTCCTTGAAAAGACTTTATTGGCTTGTCAATGGATAATTTGCATACGTGTATACATTGATCTGTTGAACATGAAGCAAAAGAAGTGTTTGTTTGCCAGTCAACATCGAGGGCAGGCGCATTGTGAAAACTGAACTGCTGGGTACATTCTCCACTGGCAGCGTCCCAAATGATCGTAGTCTTATCTACCTGTAACAAAAAATAATAGGTATTAGCAAAAAATGTCTATACCTATGTGGCGGATTCATCTCTCCAAAAAAAAATATCGCATTCACATGGTATTTTGTATACACTGCTGGCAAAGGAACATTAGCAATAGGAGGCTTTCAATGCGATAAAAAAAGATGGTAAGGGCTGCAAAATACACTGCAGTGCAACAGCGACGGATAAAGTGTCTTTTTCCTACCATCGTATAGGGGAAGTGATCATAGAAGTGATACGACGAGAGAGCCTCTGCGAGAGGGGGCGCCGGGCGGGTCTTTAAGACGCTTGTGTGGGGGCTACCGCCTACTAATAGAATAGAATCGAAAAAATAGAAACAGGACGGACAGTGTTGTCATTCTATTAAATCGAAATTATGTTGGCTTATCCCAAATCCCAAATCTTCTAATCCCATTATCTTGCCTGCTTAATGAAATATTAAATAAAGTACGAAACAATTTTAAGAATGTTTTCTCTAGGCACATAACTTCTTTCTAAAACGAAAAGTAACATGCAAAACTTTGAAATCATTTCTAAAATAGCAAGTGCAATTCTATGAAATGGCAATACTGTACGATCTTCCTAGCAGTCGCCCCGACACCGTCGGTAGGCGGCGGCGCGCGGCGGTAACAAAGGAATTAGGCCGAAAAAACTTTATAAGTAGCCGAACAGGGTTGCCGGGTTTGTTAGATTATAATTTCATACGAGAACAAAATTCTCGATAGATCTTCAACAAAAATCAAAAGTACAGAAACAAAATAAAATATAATATTTAAGTCCAAAATTAGCATTCCTGTGTGGTAATAATAGATCACTCAAATAAAATACAAATATAATAAATATAACAAGAACTAGAAATAGCTAGGTATATTATTTGATATTAAAAAAAAATATTTAATTAAATAATATTAATATATTAATAAAAACATATAAAACTATAACAAGTAGGGATAGCAGTCACAAATTAGTGTAGCAGTCACTTTTTACCTTTATACAAATTTTGATCAATGATATCTAAAATTAATTTCATTTCAATGGGAAAGCTGTAGCAACTCTCAACTCTTTTTTCATATTAATATATTTTTTTGACAGGAAAATCACGAAAATATTTGTCCTAATTTAGGTTGTTTCTTAACTTAAATTTTGTTTACATTTTTTTGTGGAAAATATGGGTTCAACTTTAGTAGATGAATGAAACAAAATCTTTTCGAAAGATATCAACTTCTTCGGGTATATCGCCAATCCCGCGCCTAATAAGGAGTAATAAGGATTTTTAGGAATATCTCTGTAACTCTGCAACTAGACAGAACGATGACCTGTATGTGTGTTATTACTAAATAAAATTTAATGAAACAATAATAAAGTCAGATTATACAGATCCAACGCGGCAGTCGCTTAATTTTTAGTCAAATAAGTCAGCTTTTTAAAAGTGCTTCTATTGTAAAAACTAAAGACGCAGTTGAATATATCTTTAGATTTTTCTTTAAATTGGTAAATCGGTAGCTTACAGACGAAACCGGTAGAACTGGCAACTCTGTGATGAACTGACGGGTGACGGAATAGCGAGTTATGGAGGCGCGGGAAGGAAAATAAAATAATGGCGATAAATAAAGGGCAGGGGGATGGGTATCATGAGTGGATGGGAGGTGGTGGAATTTCCAAAATTTGTTATCTTATTGGAGTTTGTCTAAGTAAACAGTCGTAGTGGAAGTGGAAACGGGGAAGTTGTTGTCCATCTCTATTTAAGCATAGACTTTTTATAGGCGTTTCATTCCAATGCATGTAATTCCTATGCCTAGAGATAAATTGCCGGGCCTGTATACAAAATACCATGTGAATGCGATAAATTTTACATTGGTGAAACATCTAGACCCTTAAATGTTCGAGTTAAAGAACATAAAGATTATTTAAGAAAGGGAGATTTTCACAAATCTAAGATTTGTCAGCATTCATGGGACACAGGGCACAGAATAAATTTTAATAACGCCAAAATTATAATGAAAGAAGCGATAGCCTCTAAAAGAAAAATAAAAGAGGCTTTTTTAATGCAATCTAATAAAAATAAATGTATTGCTCATGCATCTGTAGATGTTAGTAATGTATGGCAATCGCTTCTTTGATTTTAAAGAACATAACATAAATAAACATAGCATATGTAAAAATTAAAAATAATCATACAGAAAGTTTGGGGCTTTTTGAATGATAATTTTCGTTGGACAAATATTGTTTCTTTCTTCATTAGCATTAACTTAAAATACTATTTATTTAAAGATTTTCTATATAGGAAGTGCCTTTATTAAAAATTCATTAAAAAGTGCAAGACTAAGATCAAGACTGGACCAAGACTGAGCAAATGCAAGACCCAGATCAAGCGAGTCTTGGTCTTGCATTTGCTCATCACTAATAGGTATTTATTTAGCAAAAAAAAAATTATGTAAAAAAATCTTACCCCTGCAGATAATATGTAATTTCCGCCCTTATTCCATTTTAGAGCAAAAATAGGACCTTTGTGTTGTCCTAAAGTACTTTCAAGCATTCCATCTGTATTCCAAATTCGGGCATAACCATCATAACTACCTGTGGCCAACAAGCTCCCGTCGCACTGAAATTGAACGTTACCATGAAATCAAGCAATATCCAGAGATTCTCTTCAGTAACTTTCAACATTGGCAGACAAAATATACCGTGCTGGCAACTGTTACTTTTGGGTCGGTATTTACATGTGTGGAAGTAAATCGCATAGGGATCTTATTAAGTCGGAGTGAGAGAAATGCGGCAATGTGCTGTTGCGGCGTTGCCGGTACGCCTTTCCTTAGCAAGTAAAGTAAAATCACGATCGCAAACCGCTTAATTTTAAAAGACGTTTTTTTTTCGAAAAGATAACTTGATGAAATCATTAGATATGTTTCTGAGCATCTGAAATGGAATTATAAGGATATCGTTAAGGTGTCCATTTTTTTATAACGAGAAAACGTCAGTAATCGCGATAATTTAAACACTCCACTTTTTAACAAATAACACGCCATAGCTTGAGAACCACTTTAGATACTGAAACTTTTTTTTTATTTTGAAGAACAGATCTTTTACAATGTTTAAATAAGAAAAGTTAGATAAGGTTGTTTTTTTCTATTCAAAAATTTTAAATAACCCAACCATTTACTTTTAGTGCACAGCAATTTTCAGCAATCGCGTAACTTTTTTATTTATAAAAATTTTCACATACTGTCTGCGAAGAAAATATAGCAGAAATGTTAAGAAAGTTTTTGGAAAAGACTACAATCAATTATTTCTAATAGATTTCGAGATATTGGTTTTTGAATTCAGAGTTCTAATAGCGCGACCACTGTCGAACACCAACTCAATTCCACTTATTTTGACCAAAAATGCAAGTGTTCCTAACTTGCACTTAAAAATGTTCAAGTTATAGGGAAAATTACAACGACTCGTTAATAAATAAACAAATAAAGTATCACGAGACGTAAATAAATCGTGAGCTGAACGCATGAAGCACATCTTTCCCTAGAACTTTAAGTACTGACGTACTGATTGGGTCGACTGGTTGACCGCAACAAATCTGCTTATCCTCTTCCACGTCTCTTAGCAATGTGCACAGTTTCTTGGTTTATTTCATAAGCTTGGCAACGTGTTTACTGTTCTCTCTTTGTTAGTACATTATAAACGTATTGTACTCTTCTTACATACGGAAATCTCGACCCAAGACTAACCTTCGCCAGCCCTTAGAAGAACTACATAATTCACTTTCAATGCTTAAATGTTTTTGTGTTATATAGGCCAGTAAGTGAGGGTTTTAGGGCCCAAATTCTGAACACCTACACCGATTGACAGTGAATAGAGATATATGTAAGAAACAATAGTTACATACTAGCGATGTGTGCTTTCATCCTGGGGGTGAGTGCCACCACTTCTCGGGGACGAAAAGTAAATCACACATTTTAATTGCAAAAATCAATAAAGAGATGAATTCTAAGCAAAAAATGTTATACAGGGCGTTTCAAAAAACATGTGCCACATGTGTCTCTCGTGGAGAGATTCCTCACGTAAAAATAAGATTAATTTTTCATATCAACGTATGTCCGATTCTGCTTTGTTTCGTAGCTACAGGGTGTTAAAATCTTAATATTTTTTCGATTTATTATAATTTTCTTCCAAATACTTTTAGCGTTTCGAATGAAATTTTGAGGGTAAAAGTTAGTATAAATGCGACATATTTTAAAGCTAAAAAAGTGTCGACATATTCACCAGGGACGTGCATATGGGTTATTGCTGGAATATTTTTCTAAAAAAAGCATGTACGCCACTGACATTTTTTAGCGAAATAGTGTAAGCAGTATAACGCTGATTAAAAAAATTAAAAGTTGTCTCTTGATATTTCGTTTTCGGCCAAATTGATGAGATATCTTGATTTCGGCCTAATTTATGAGATAAACGCAATTTTATTAAATTGCCTGGATCTAATTAAGTCTAATAGCAACCTTCAAAAAAATATATCATTAACTTGCGGGAGTTTTAAATAAGTACTCATTGATTCCTCATCAAAAATATGAAAAAAAGTTCCTATAAACATGGGTATGGAAATGCATAGTTTTAGAGTTACAGGATGTTAAAACTTTTTAAAGTTTTTTTTTTGTAATCATATTAAATACCATTATTTTTTTTATTTGAAATGGTTCTAGGTTGGACTAATAGTAATAGTAACTAATAGTAATAATATTTAATAATAAATTAGATAAAATATATAATTTATTAATTTTATTTTTATTTTAATTTTATTAATTGTGATTTATAAAATTGCGCTTATCTCATCAAGGAGGCCGAATTCGACAAAATATCGAGATATAACTTTTAATTGGCATTAAATGGCCTACACAATTCTGATATCAATAGAAATGTCAGTGGCGCCACATGTTTTTTTTTAAATATATATTCCAGTGATAGCCCATATGCACGTCCCTGATGAAATTACCGATACTTTTTTAGCATTAGAATATGTAGCACTAATAGTAACTTTTACCCTCAAAATTTCATTCAAATCACATGCAGAACAGAGTAAAATAAATGTGTTTTTTTTGCAATATTTTTGCTCTTTCAATTTTTTTGTAGATCTCTTTATTTCGTAAATATTACGTTTGTTTAGTTTGACTTGCGTTTAAGGACCATCTTCTTTGAGCCATTAAAACCCAAAAATCTCGTAAAAATGAAGAGTTCAAGACTGTTCAACTACAGAAGTTAATTTGTAGCTCGTGTAAGTTCCTACAAATTGACAGTTTTTATTTTTATGATTTGTCATAGATTTTGTTGTTAATTTTTTTCCGAAAAAATGACGTGACCATTTTATTTTTATCATAAATCCGTGAGTTTTTGAGCTACGAACTTGAAAAGACCTTTAAAAAAGCATTTAAAAGGTCTTTTCAGGCACTTTCAAAACGGTCATATATTCATTTTCTTCGAAAAATATGTTCTTTCGCCATTATTTTACGGTAAAAGGTTGCAATTTTTAGTTTTCGAAAAACTCGGCTATTATTACACCTACGGTAATCGACAAAAAATGAATCAAAAATTCGTTATTCCAAAAGCTTCATTTTTGCTTTACATGAGTTTTGCGATAAAACGCAAGGTTTTCGAGTTATTTATAAAAAATGGCAGAAAAATATGCAGTTTTTAGATGAAAAATCAACATTTTCAATCCTAAATAACTAGAAAAATTTTAATTTTCTGAAAAATTTTTATATAACATTATTTGCTTAGAATAATTCATCCTTTTATTGATTTTAGCAATTAAAATGGGTGGTTTATTTTTCTCCCCCGAGAAAGGGTAGCACTCACCGACTCACCCCCAAGGTGAAAGCACACATCGCTATTATGTAACTTTTGTTTCTTACATGTATCTATTCACTATTGGTTTGGGTCAAATTTTTTTTTACGTCAATCAGTGCGAGTGTCAAAAATTCGGAGGAATTCCTATTTTTATCCTCGCTTACTGGCCTAATAGGTAATAGTTTATTTATTAATACAGGGCGGCGCATCTCATTCGCCTCAGTTAATTTTACAAAAACTGGAAGACATAGAAACAAAATATTTGAGATATATTAATATTTGAAACAAAATGACCATATGTGGAAAGGTAATCTGCATAATTTAAAATTATCTTGATATGTACAGGTACAGGATGTGTCAGAACTAGGATCCATACCAAAGTGTTATATTTTTTCTTATGGAACAACCGGCATGCTATAATAAAAAAGATTGTCAACACCCTGTACACTACTTTTCAGAATTAATTCTTGTGCTGACTTTTAAGCCAGAGAAATACATTTTACTAAAAAATTTGATTGCTTCCTTAAATGTATACAGGGTTATCAAAAACTGCTGGTCTATTTTAAATATTTATTTTACACAAAAACTTCGTTATTTCAATGCCACACTCTGTATTTTTTTAAATAAGTCAAAGCAGATTTAAGTGCTCTTTCAAACTATATTAAGGTTTCCTATATCTATTTGGCTTAGATTCTGAATAAAGAGCGATTTTTCAATAAAATAACGACCAAGAGGGCTAGTATCGTCGTGGCAATTAGTCGAAATTAGTTTATGGACATTATTTAAATTTCTCGCAGTTTACTTTCATTTAATTTACCTACAATAGTTTAATAAATAAGTATTTATTATTAATTATTATTTTTTATCAAGAAAAAGGAAGCAATGTTCTTTGGTTATATTTTACAATGACTTGTCGATATACTGGATTTTATTATAAAAGAGATTGCAATTACGGCAAATTCATTTTCTTCACTTCCAACTTCCAACGACAGGTTTCTGCTTAATAGCTTTTTAGTGGGGTGAAATGGCTGAAAAAAGTTTCACATCTGGCAACCAATGCGCCCTTTTGGATTCAGATAGTACATAGGCCCTCTAGCGATCTTGATGACGTAATCAAAATGGCGGCCAAAATTTTGAAACGCGCTTCTAGATTTCCCGTTATAACTCAATTTTCCAACATATTTTAACATATGTTTTTAGTGATTATGAATTAGGAGAAAACATGCTTCCCAACGGTGTATTTGGTTTTATAGGTTACGTTCACAAAACCAAAAATATTTGAAATTTAATTTCTTATTTTTTTTAATTTTTATTTTTTTCATCGCATTTTGTTAAATAACTTGAAATCAGTTACATTTAGCTAAAAACGTGTCATATACTTTTTTGTTCGTCAGAGAATTACCTTTCTAGCGGTATATTAATCAACTAAAGAATACTTTACGACTAGACATTATATTCGACAGATATATTATTAATAGTTTAAAGGAAGATACCCGAGAAAGAAGAGGAGGTGGCATAAGCATTTAAAGTCTCAGACTCAACTAAAATTCCAAAAAAAAATAAGCAATTCTTATGTGTTAACGAAAACAAGACACAATTGTTCCAGTTGCTAGCGAAGAAAATAGTGAGGGAGGATTATCCAGGGAAACATGTTCTATGTACTTATGAATATCGAGTTCTCGCGTCAACAAATATGGATATATCAAGCATTTCTCCAGCCTCACACGAAGAAGCAGATGGCCGCATGCTTCTCCATGTTAAGCATGCAGTTGAAAATGGACATACTCGCATCTTAATACGAACTGTAGGCTCAGAAGTGGTGGTTATTTCAATATCACTGTTCTCACAAATAAAAAATAATGATGAACTATGGATTAAGTATGGTACTTGCAAAAACAGAAAATGCATTCCAATTCATGAGATTTGTGCCAAACTCTCACAGGAAATTTGCAATAATTTGTTGGCTTTTCATTCTGTTACAGGTTGCGACACAGTTTCCACATTTTGTGGCATTGGCAAAAAGACAGCTTGGAAAGTCTGGATGTCATTTCGTGAAATTGATTATGTATGGCATCAGATCTGTACAGGCACCTCTGACATTGAAGATAATTGTCATGATCTGTTGCAGCGGTTTGTTATTTTACTTTATGATCAAACCTCAGACCTTCACAGCATAAATGACTGCAGACGAGTTTTATTTACAAGGAAGAATCGAGCAATCGAGAACATTGCTCCTACAGCAGATGCTTTAACACAACATATCAAACGAGCTACATTCCAAGCCAGAATTTAGAGCAACAGTCTCGTTGCACAATACACGATACCTTCACCAACCGAGTGGTGATGGATACTAACTTCGGAAGGATCATACCGACATACCGTGTGGATAACAATTCCAGAAGTTTCAAAACACTGTGTAGAACTTACCTCCTGTACTTGCCGCAAGTGATGTGCATCTTGTAAATGTGTTAAAATGGGAATACGCTGTACAAAACTTTGGTATGTGAAGCACAGTGCTCGGGTAGTGATCCGTAATCATAAGTGAACTGGTAATGCAAATCCTCTACTCTGGATATGTACTTCTTTAACTAATGTTTGAAAGCTACTTTACAGTCATACCTTGAGTGTGCTTCATGTGTGCGTTTTTAAAACGGAAATCAAAGTTTCGTCCTCCGAAAAAAGCTATACTTTATTTACTTATTCATCAAAAATTAGATTAAATTTTTTGCTTTTTAGCAGGTACAAAACCGCTGTATTGCTTTTCGAAATCTATAAATTACATTGCTGCCCTAACGACTAGCTGTGCAACGCTACATTGTTTTGGCAGATTTTTAGCAACTGTTTATGATAAAATAGAAGATATATATACCGTTGTAAAGGTAATTGCGAAGAAAAAAGTATAGAACACAAATCTGACGAAAAAATGAAATTAAAAAACATTTTTTTTAAAGTAACAAATATTTTTGTTATTATAAACGTAAATAATTTTGTGAAATATACCATTAAAAAGCGCCTCCTTTCCTCCTCTTTTATAATCACTAACAATATTTGTTAATATCGAAAAGTAAAACAGACTTATAACGGGAAATATAGTAGCGTGTCTAAAAGTTTTGGCGGTCATTTTGATTTCGTCAAGACCGCTAGAGGGCCAGAAAAATTTGTGTCCCGGGCTTTTTAGACTTGTCTATCCATGTACTATCTTAATCCAAAACGGTGCGTTGGTTGCCAGATGTGAAATATTTTGGCATAATTTTAACCTAACATACCCCACTATTTTCATAAACCACACTATCAGCTCTGTGAAATAGGACAAGTAGTTTTTCAAAAGATCGCTTATAAGGAGGATTCCTATTTGGATATCTTTGAGCATAATGGTAGGCTTTGGAAAAAAGTTGCTTTTAGAGGGATAGTTTAAACATCAAAATATTATTATATCAACATTTTGATAGTCTCAACAGCGTTTTTTTATCTTTTGATTGCTTTTCTAAAAATACCATTCTTCAAACGAGAAAAAACGCTGCTAAGACTATCAAAATGTTGATCTAATATCACTTTGACGTTTATACTATTATGTCAAAAGCTACTTTTTTCGAAAGCCTTAATTATTAGATATTAATACATCTGGTATTATGGTATTCTGGTATATTGTAGATTTTATAATAAATTAATCGTTTCTATCTTATTTTTTATTAGATTGGTCATACTCAAGAGGGCTAATGTAACAATATTATAAAGATAATGTAATTAAGGGCTTATTTTTTCGTATTTATTATAATTTTGCTAATATCTTCAGTTCGAAAGAGAATATCAAGATGCGGTTTTCGCTGACTTTGTAAGCTTTTATTACTCTTTACTATCAGCTAAAATTACATAATATACTATTACATTTAATTTTTTTGAAAAAACGCACAATGTTTGTTAAATTGTAAGACAGCGCCCCCTAACGTCTACATTCAAAAGCTTATTATTATTGTTTATACGGCATAATATAGAGTAAGAAACACTATTTTAATCGAGCCCGCGCTTGTTTGATTCCGTTCATCTAGTCCGGGTTATTAATACTTAAATAAAAATAGATCTAACCTTCCCCCACCACTTTATTTTGGCAGATAGCGGAAAATGGTTCTAACAATAAATATTCAAAGTTTTCTGAAGATTTGGCTGTAAATTGGTTGATATTATTTTTATAGTACCCATTCTCTTAGCAAAAATGTGTAAAAACTCCTTTTTTCTTATTTTTAATAGCAGTTGCGCCCTCTAGCGGCCGTTCGACAAAATTTTTTTTTCCCGCAGGCTCTATGGCTAATACTTTTCGAGATACAGCCGAGTGCTATTCTTAGTGGGACACCCTGTACATGTGTTGATAATCGTTTCTATTATTGCATACATATTTAAATATATTTAAATATCTCAAAAACCAAAGTTTTTAAACATATTTTACCGTTATAATAAATGCCGTTTTTTAGGTCCAAGAATCCAAAAATGAACTAAAATACCGGGTGTTCCATAAGAAAAAAATATAACTTTGGTATGAATCTTAGTTCTGAAACACGCTGTCTAATTTAAATTATGCAAATTACTTCCCCACATATATCATTAAAAAAAATTGTTTCTACATCTTTCCGTTTTCCTATAATCTATGGAGGCGAATGAGGTGCGCCACCCTGTATAATTTACATACATTCCAATCCAAGGATGTCACATCTTTATTGCTCGGAACTTCTGTTGCTCCTTTTCTTATACAATGTCTCAATACAAGCTGTGATCGGTATTTGGACATGACACCATCACTCAGATCCCAGATTCTAGCTGTACTGTCCCCAGAACCACTCGCTAACAAATCTTTAGTTGGATTCCATGCACAAATGAATACCTCAGACTCATGTCCCCTTAGAACTGTTGCTTTAGAAGAAGGTACTTCTAATGTAGTATCTACCTCCATATTTTCATTTTTAGTCGATGCCACCACTAGAACAGCAAAAATTGTTACAATTCTTATTTTTTCTAATCTCTAACTTTGCTAAGCTAACCGAGCTGGATTTCCCAAAACGGAAAACAATCACATAACTATATCAACTGACGACTTAGTTGACAGATAACGAGAGGGTGGTTGGTTTCCCCATAACGACAAACATAATTTTTTGTTATTTTCAGTTTTTCCTTTGAATAAGAAGACTAAGGAAGGAACATATCAAAAATCGTAGGTCCACCGCGATGGCCTCAAATATGGTCGACTTAAATTCCGGTTTATCAGTGCCGTTCTAATTTTATTTAAAAAATGTATAACTATGATGTAGGGTAGACGTGGGGTAAACTCAATAATTTGTTTGTTTACGTTGTGAATAAATGTTGATAATTATTAAAATTGTTATAAAAATATAAAATTCTAATAAAAATAGATAAGTTATAATAATTATTTATAACCATAAACATCCGATACGCTACTGAAGCAGTTAAGTCAAATTGACGTATCTAAATTCTTTGATATCTAATCTTTAACATGTAGTAAATAAAAGCAAAAATGCAAGAAAAAATATATAATTAGTTAATTTAAGTGAATTTCATGAATGATCGGTTTACTACACGTATGTATATTATATAGTCACTTACTAGCGAAAAGTTGTTCCATTATTTCACTCGATTTTTGCCGAGATCTACCGCACGCTACACAACCAAATATTTTAGAGTCTTTTTCGATAAATCGCGATAGTGTCACTGTTAAGTTTAGTTCTGCCACAATTTCCATCTAGATTTACTACCTTTATACAACTCTCAGTAGTAGAATAAATAATAAATAACATAAAATAAGCTCCGTAAAGACTGACAAATCCACAAAATTTCAAATCAAATTCAAATGTGTCAAATGAATCGTCAAACAGAAATGTCAAGGATCCCCACCCTAGAGTCCTTTTTCCGCCCACCATGCATGAATACATAGATAGCATTATGCTCCTTCCTTAAGTCTTCTTATTCAAAGAGTTTTTCGTTATTTTTGAAAGCTGAATAGGCCAGTAAACGAGGGTTTTAGGGTCCGAATTCTGAACACCTGCACCGATTGAAGTGAAATTTTAACAGTGAATAGAGATACATGTAAGAAACAAAAGTTACATAGCAGCAATGTGTGCTTTCACCCTGGGGATGAGTGCCATCCCTTCTCGGGGGTGAAAAATAAATCACCCATTTTAATTGCAAAAATCAACAAAAGGATGAATTCTAAGCAAAAAATGTTCTATAACATTTTTTTCAGAAAATTAATATTTTCCTTGTTATTTAGGATTGAAAATGTTGATTTTTCATCTAAAAACTGCATATTTTTCTGCCATTTTTTATAAATAACTCGAAAACCTTGCGTTTTATGGCATAACTCATATAAAGCAGAAATGATGCTTTTGGAATAATGAATCGACTTATTTTTTGTTGGTGAAATAATAGCCGAGTTAATAATATCACTCTGTAAATGTGATTTTTTATTTTTCGAAAACTAAATTGCAATCTTTTACCGCAATAATGGCCAAAAAACACATTTTTCGAAGACAATGAATATGGCCGTTTTTCAAGTGCTTGAAAAGACCTTTTAAATATTTTTTTAAATAATTTCGTAGCTCAAAAACTCGTAGTGTTATGATAAAAATAAAATGGACACCTCATTTTTTCGGAAAAAAAAATTAACAACAAAATCTATGACTAAAATCATAAAAATAAAAACTAAGCGTAATACATGTACAGTTGGCTCTATTTAGGTATTAACAATGGACTCTGCAAGTTCGAGCGGTTTAGAATAGCGATGAGAACTATCGAATGAATTAGACTATCGAATGGTTAATGAATGAATGATTTCAACTATCAAAGGGTTTTATTCGAATAAAATCATTCATTCATTTGTATACTAAAGCATATGTGACAACCTCGCCGTGCGACTAAATGGTTATCGTTGAGCCACGACTATCGAATGCTTTTGATAAATGAAATTTAGTATTCGTTTGATTTTTGTATGCGTCAGTGCATTATTAGTTTTTCCAAATTTTTATAACTTCGCCGTATAAATACTGTGCTATTTTTGCGTTTATTAAAATAGTTAAAATACTAAAATAGTAGTTATTTTTTAATTTTATTTATTGACGATTGTGTGCATGTGCGTCAAAATTGGTGGTCAAATTTTTTCCGAAAATTTGTGTGGTTTTCCGTAGTCCGATCTTTCAATTATTTAATTTTATATGGTATATGGTCTATTTTTTAATGGGAAATTTTGAGAAGTAGCAATTTTTAAGAGAGATGAGATGAACTTACAATTAATTTTAAAAATACATATTTGTATTTTAGATGTTTTAATAATATGAATTAGTTGAACTTAATAATCATATTTAAGTAATGTGGTTAAGTAAATGGGTTATCGAACTCAAACTATGGGGTGCTAAGAAAATTAAAATAGAAAGTTTTACACGTGCCAATTTAAAAAAAGTTAACGATGTTTGTATTTTGTTTATGCTAATTCTCTTACATGTAGTTTTTTGCGAAGAAATATTTCATTTATTTTTTAAAGTAAATGCCAGTAAAAAGTAAATATAATTTTTAAATAGTAATATAAAGCACCTAATATAAATAATTTTGATTTCTAATTTTTTTTATTTATATTTTCCTTCCATTACACTGCATGCTTAGAAAATTAATAAATGTTTATATTTCATGATTTTAAAATTTGTTGTTAATATAACAAATTAGTTCTGTAATTATTATTATATAATAAACCAACGTTGCCACACACAAAAAAATTTAGAGACTATATTATTTTTTAAATAGGATCTAATATAAATAATTTTGACATCTAATTTGTTGTTTATATTTTGCTACTACTTAAAAAAAAATTTATATTAAATGATTTTAAATTTTGTTGTTAATAGGTATAACAAATTATTACTGTTATTATTATTTATTAAACCAGTCTTTGCTTAAAAACATTAAAAATCATTTTCCTACATCCAAAATAACAAGTATTATTGCAGTGTAACAACAGAATATTAATAAAAAAAATGCAGAATATATAGACACACTATCCCTAACTAACTAAAGCCAAACAATAATATGCTTTGCTAATATCAACTAATACCAAAATATGGCAACAGCGCCCTTCATAATGTATTTTCTGTGTAAATACTAGCACCTCAATAAAAAAATAATGTGTCCTTATCTATATCTGACTCCGCAAAAAATCAAAGATGCCGGCTTCTGTCATAGCATTGCCACCGACCGCTGTCGGGTTTCTCGGAAAGAAACGTACGTCGCCGGGCAACAACTAAAATTCAGTTAATATTTTATTATAATCGATCCTGGCGAATAAATGAATTTCATAAATGAATGAATTTTATAAATGAATGGTTTTTGCTGCCGAATTACTAGAATACAATATTTCAAGGCAGATGACGGATCTATTCGATAATTTTTATTCGAATAGTTTTCAACGAATGTTTTCTTACTAACTATCGAATTATTCGAATGAATTGCAACTATCGAATGTTTCGATAGTATTCATTCGATACTTCCCACTACTAGTTTAGAATGCCTAAATTTAGAAAAAAAAGTTGAAAATAATGATTTTTTTTTATTTTTTAAATTTATTTTAATTTTTTTGACATATTTTATCTCAAAGCTAAGCAAGATACGTAAGAAATGCAACAGAGTAAAATTGAAAGTCTTTTTTGCAATATTTTTGCTCTTTCAATTTTTCTGTAAATCTCTTATTTCGTAGACATTACATTTTATTAGTTTGACTTGCGTGTAAGGAAAACCTTCTTTGTGCCCTTAAAACCCAAAAATCTCGTAAAAATGAAAAGTTCAAGACTGTTTAACTACAGAACTTTTAATCAGAAAGGTTAATTTTTAGCTTGTGTAATTTCCTACAAATTGACAATTGGTTTTTATTTTTATAATATTAGTCGCAGATTTTGTTGTTAATTTTTTCCGAAAAAATGAGGTGACCATTTTATTTTGATCATAACTCCGCGAGTTTTTGAGCTACGAACTAGCTTTTAAACAAACATTTAAAAGGTCTTTTCAAGCACTTTAAAAACGGTCATAATCATTTTCTTCAAAAAATGTGTTTTCGCCATTATTTTACGGTAAAAAATTGCAATTTAGTTTTCGAAAAATAAAAAATCACCTTTACAGAGTTATAACTCTGTAAAGTTATAACACAATAATCTGCAAAATATCAGTCGATTCGTTATTCCAAAAGCTTCATTTTTGATTTATATGAGTTTTGCAATAAAACGCAAGATTTCCGAGTTATTTATAATAAATGGCAGAAAAATATGCAGTTTTTAGATGAAGAATCCACATTTTCAATCCATTAAAAAAATATAAATCAAAATTAATATTTTCCTAGTTATTTACTAGGAAAATATTAATTTTCTGAAATATAACTATTAATTTTGTGAAAAAACGTTATAGAACATTTTTTGCTTCGAATTCATCCCTTTATTGATTTTTGCAATTAAGATGGGTGATTTATTTTTCACCCCCGGAGAAGGGGTGGCACTCACCCCCATGGTGAAAACACACACTGCTACTATGTAACTTTTGTTTCTTACATATATCTCTATTCGCTTAAAATTTCACGTCAATCAGTGCGGGTGGCAAGAATTCGGAGTAGGGAATGCAATCCCGCACCAAAATCTCAATCCCACAAACCCGCGGGATTAAAACAATCAATCTCGCGTATCCGCAAAATTGCGGGACTGTAAACAATAGTCATACATTTGGTCCTAAATGGTACAAAAGGCATTGTACATTTTGCATAGGCCCACAATATATTGATATAGCGTGTATTTTAAACTAGCTGTACAGAAATTTGGACCGATGTATACAGAGTGTTCAAAAAATATATTTAATATTAAATAAACTTAAATTTTATTATAATTTATCTACTTATTTTATAAATAAAAATATTATTCTGATGTTGAAGTTTTTTTTAA